TGGTCATTCGAGAGATGCAAATGAAAACAACACTGAGATTCCACCTCACTCCAGAAAGAATGGCTGCTATCATGAAATCAGCCATGCTGGAGGGGCTGTGGGGAAAGAACACTGCTCTACTGCTGGTGGGAGTGTCGACTGGTGCAACCACTGTGGAAATCAGTATGGAGTTACCTCAAAGAACTAGGACTGGAAGTCCCATTTGACCCAGCTATTCCCCTGCTGAGTATATTCCCCAAAGAATTAAAAGAATTATACCACAGTGATATATGTGCATCCATGTTCATAGCAGCACAGCTTGTAGTAGCTAAAACTTGGAAGCAGCCCAAATGCCCATCAACTGGAGACTGACTGGATAAAGAAAATGTGGTTCTTTAATAAAATGGAGTTCTACTCAGCCATGAAAAATGAGAAATTAGAGGCATTTATAGCTAAATGGATGCACACTGAGGCCATACTCTTAAGTGAAATAAATAGGACACACGTGAAAATACCAAATAGTTTCTCTAGTTTGAGAAACTGAAAGTGTAAATAAGAACTAAAAGGTATATAGATAATTTGAAATAGGAAGAAAAGGGACAAACGGGAAGGGGATGGGGCAGTGATAGGGGAAAGGAAAGAAGAGAATGAAATTAATATGATAAAATGAAAAAAAGGAAACAAAGTCTTTGCCAATAGGGATGGAGGTATTGAAGGGAGGGCAGAAAAATAGGGAAAATAATAACCAAGAGAGTATGTAAAGATGCATATTTCCAATGATGAATGTCATTATATTGTATACCTAAAATGTACCAATAAAAGGATATTAAAAAAAAAAGAACAAATGTCAGCTTAGGTGTGAACCAGTTAGAACTTTGTAATACTGCTAATGTGAATGTAAAAGGATAAAATCATTTTGACAAACAATATAGAAATTTCTTATATTACTGTTAAGAACCAATAGTCCTGTTCTTAAGTTTTTACTTGAGAGGAATGAAAACATATGTTCACAATAGATTTGTACATACAAGTTGAGTATCCCTTATCTGAAATTCTTGGAACCAGAGTGTTTCAGATTTTCATTTGAAATCCACTTGATCTGCAAAGAGAATAGCTACTCCTGCTTTTTTTTCGGGTTTCTGTCACATGGAGTATTGTTTTCCTCCCTTTAACTTTCAAATTATGTTTCTTTTTGAATTAAATGTTTCTTGTATGCAGCATAGTGTTGAATCTTGCTCCTTGACCCATTCTGCCAGTCAGTTTCTTTTGATTGGTGAATTGAGACCATTAACATTGATGCTCATACATATTGACTTATCATTGTCATGACTTTTTCTGTTTGTTGGATTCTCCCCCTTTGCATTTAATTTCTTATTGCGCCTGATGGATTCATTCTGCTGGGCTTCCTAGGGTTGTGATCCTTGTCTTTTCCTGGGATATTGTCTAAAATTTTTTGGAGTGCTGGCTTGGTATTCATGAAGTTCCTAAGATGCTCTTTGTCATGAAAGTATCTTATTTCTCCATCAGTTTTGAAAGATAATTTTGCAGGGTACATCAGTCTGGGTTGGAGGCTACTTTCTTTTAGGGCTTGAAATACATCACTCCAAGCTCTTCTTGCCTTGAGGGTTTGCATTTAGATGTCTGCTGTGATTTTGATGGGCTTTCCTTTGAATGTGATTTGTTTCTTTTCTCTCACTGCTTGTAGAACTTTGTTCTTCTGTTGTGTTTCTGGAATCTTAACAATTATATACCTATATGTAGACTTTTTTTGATCAAGGCTAGTTGGAGTCCTATATGCCTCACTTATCTGTATGTCAAATTCTTTTCCCCTGCTTGGGAAGTTTTCTGCCATCACTTCTATGAACAGATTTTTTTATGTCATCTGCACTCTCTCCTCTTTCTTCACTGACTCCGATCAGTCTGATGTTATTCTTCTTTGCATCGTCTAGCAGCTGGTGGATTGATCTCTTGTGGTCCCTTACAATTTTAAAGCAATTTTTGTTTTCCTGGTCACTAATTGAAATCTTATCTTCTGTATCTGAAATTCTATCCTCAAATTGCCTCATTCTGCTGCATAGACTTTGAGTGGAGTTTTTTATTTCCTGGAAATCTGTTTGCATCTGTTTTATGGATTCCATTTGTTTCCTATGTTGGGATTCCATCATGTTCCTCAGGTCTTCTCTAGGTTTATTAATCATGTCTTGTACTATGGGCACGATCTCTGCTGTTATGTGAGAAATTATTTCGGTTTTCATATTTTCCAGATCCTCTTTTGTTGCCAGTTCAGGGCGTCCAGGTGGTTGAGTATCAGTGTTCTATCTCATTTACCTTTGGGTTTGCTGAAGGTGATCTGGAAGTCTGGTTTTGAGACTTGTTTATTTGTCTTCTCAGTTCAGTGGGGTGGGGGATGGCTGCTGCTGGTGCCTGCACAGCTCACCTCCTCTGTGCTGGTGGGGGTGGTACGGTGGCCCAGAAGCCTCCTCTTGTGTGCTGTGACCAGCTGTCCTCCTTTCTGCTGGCAGGTGTGGTACAGCGGCCTGGAAGCCTCCTCTTGTGCCCTGGGAGCGGCTTACCTCCTCTGTACTTTATTAGTGTCTTCTTTAAGCTCACTGATCATTTTGTTTATTAAGTTGTTTAGTTATGTCATCTTTGACCTCACCAAGCACCTTATTGATTTGTTTTTTGTTTCTCCTTTTATCATTTCATATACAGTGGTATCTTGGTTATCAAACTCAATTTGTTCCAAATTCATGTCCAAACACTAAAAAGCTCAAGAACTGAACATATTTTTTCCAATAAGAAATAATGGGAAACCAAATTCTGAGGTCCAGAAATTACACTTACAAATTCACTTTTCCAGGGCTTCAACAAATTTTGCAGTGATTTATTTCTTTAACTCTGTGTCATGGTTCTCACAGTTTTCCTCTTAGCTTTACTGCTGGTATCACTAACTTTCTTTGGAGCCATGGTTATGATATTTTATGCAAATAAAGCACCAAGAAAACCCCACAGTGATGAAGATTTTAACACATTAACACAAGCACTGTTGTCTGGCCTTGGACTGAAGCGTCATCCCTTTGTGTCCACAGCATGACTCCCTCTCAGCCTGCACAGGTTTTACTCAAGTCAAATTTTTGGTTTGACTACCAAGCAGAGTTAGAAACTCTGAGCAGATTTTTTATAGAAATTTGCTGTATGAGTAGTGGAAAATTGGAGCTTGAAGCTATTTGACAACTGAGGTATCACCATAATTCAGCTATTTGGCGTTTGATTTCCTCCCCTTTTATGCCGCTTAGATCAGCTTTGTGGAAGGTGGGAGTTTTTGGAGGCATTTTGTTCCCTTGTCTTCTCATGTTTCTGTAGTGTTTTGTTGTGCTGAGTGTTGAGGGTCATTTAAAATGGAAAGACTGTTACTAGTGTGGAGATCCTCTTAGTGTCTGCTTTCCAGTGAAGTGCTCTGAGGGTGGCTAATTATAGGCCTTTGCTTCTATCCCAAGATCCAATCACCTCCATTAATTCCGGGAGGGGTGAGTGCAGTATGATTCACCTAACCCCTATTTCTCCAGAAACAAACTGCAGCAGTGTCGATTACACAAAGACAAATTACACAAAGACAAAGATTACACAAAGACAAGTTAATAGTAACAACTGTATCACCACAGGCAATAGCAAAAAAAAATCAAATAGGGTTAAAGACAAATTATATATGTAATAATATAAATGTAGACAAACCAAATATTGTCATAGAGTAAATATTTACTAAATATAACAACTATGCCATTAACAATAGAAAAGAATTCAACTACAATAACATAGTTAACTAAACATCTAAAAATTAACAAAGTTTAATAGTAGTACTGCCAGGCGTGGTGGCACGCCCCTGTAATCCCAGCACTCAGGAGACTGAGGCAGGAGGATTGCTTGGAGTTCAAGGCCAGCCTGAACTACACAGGGAGACCCTGTCTCAGAACAACAAAGCAAAATAGTAGTACTGATAACATTGAAGGGGTTAGGGAAAATGAAGTAAAATTTGAAAAGGACAATGAGAAGGGGAGAAAGTGAGATAAAGCATCCTATGAAAGAGTAAATAAAAATAAAGGAAATCAGATAAAGGACAAACTTGAAAAAGAAGAAAAAAGACAAGACAAAAAGCAAAAGAAAAGAAAATAGGAAAAAGAGTCCAGAAAATTCCTCCATGTGTTTGAATGAGTGGTTTCTTTTCCAGGCCTGCAGTCTTGGAATCTACCAGATATGAGAGGGAAATGAGTCACTGCTTTCCTATTTTATTTCCAGGCTTACTTTTTGTATGTGAAGGCTGAGTCCTGCCCCACCATTCCTGCTGTGTATGGTTGGTCAATAGTGTCTGCCTTGTGGCTGTATTCACTCCAGCTGCTCCATTTTCATGTTCCTCTGTGACCCCATGTCACTGGTTTCTCTGCCTACCTTTACAGTTTGTGGGTCTGTGAGGTCCCCCCCGCTGTCTATACATTCCAGGGTGTGGCATACCTCCTGGTCAGTAAATATACCTTGTATATGCAGACAGATCCCCCTCCTAGGGAGCCAGGGTTATTCTGGACAGCTTCCTTCTTTTCCTTCAGTTGTCTTTAGTTTCTCCAGTTTATGATTTCTAGTTTTCCTGTCAGCCCTTTCTTAAAACCCAGAGCGTTTCTTCCTTTTTCTCTTCACTATGTTGTTTTTCCATGTGTCGTAAGTCCAGGTCATGGAAAGATTGTTAAGCTGCTGGATTTTACACCTGTCTTTCTTCCCATCTTTTTATTCTTTAAATTAGTTTTTACACTTTATTTAAGCCAATGTACATATTGCTAAAATTTTAGGTAATAATGAAAAATTGTATTTCCTGCAAGTACTTCTATTACAATGCAAAGGCAAAGGTTTTAGTTTATCATTTCAGAAATGATTGGACTAGAGAGCATGAGATCAGGATTAAAGACCAAATTTATTCAATTTTTTTCCAAAAATTTTTTCTTTGACATGTTTTTTGTTTCGTTTTTATTTTGCAGAACCTGATGATTTGGAAACAGAAGTTCTACAAGAGCCAAGTAGGAAAAACAAAGATGGGAGCTTGTCTTCTATCGTTACTGATGTGTGGGTTAGTGAGGAAAAAGAAACAAAGGAAACTGAGTATGTTTTGTCTTTTTCTTTAATTTCAAAGTCCAGATCCCTTTTGTAATACCTTCTGAGAAATAATACTCTAATAATGTAATATCGTAATTTAATATTATAATATCCCATAAAAGAATTTC